AGGAAGAAAAGGAGGGACATGGTATTGATAGATTCAGGAAGTGTCTGAAATTCTTAGATCATAGGACACCATAAAGGTCTTTATGCAAACATGAGAAAAACTTGTTAGGGCAAGGGACTGTCTAGCGCAGAAGAGTAAACCATCACTTGGGATGCCTGTACCGCACGTTGGAGAGCGTGGCACTCAGGGGCAGCCTCCGCTTCCAGCCTAGGTCCTGCTGGTGCAAAGCCCAGGAAGTATAGATGATGTCTCAAGCACTTGGGATGCTACTCACACCTGGGGGACCTGCAAGGGTTGCTGGCATTTAGCTTTTTGACTGTCTCCAGCTCTGGGATTGTGGGCACTGGAGTTGCTAATTAGTGGACAGAAGATACCCTGTCTCTCTCTCTCTCCCTTTCAAATGAAAACATATAGATAAATGAACAAATTTTATAAGCACCTCAGATGGTTCCCATGCAGTGCATTTTTCAAGGTGTGATGTGGAAAACTCTAAATGATCATTGCATCTTTAAATGACCAAATATGATTTAAAAAACTAGTAATCCGTTCCAACTCAGTTGAAATGTCATTTTTGTAGCAGCTAAAGAAATCTCAATGACAGCTGATACTGGCAACTAGATGCATGAGGGCCGGAACTTCTGAATTCAACAGACACAGAGATCAGACTAGCTTCAGAACAAATTCTGCCCAGATTCCCTCTCAGTCTAGGATTATACCCATAATTTAGATGATGTTTATACTGGGCTCCAAAAGGAATATTTTATACCAAATCAGTTGTGTGTATAAGAAGATATTACCAGGAAGGAGGTACGGAGTCGGTGGGAGGACAAATCTGCCCTGTTTGCTCCAAACAGATTTGCAATATCCCAACACAAGAGACAGAAATATGATGGTAGAAAAGCCTAGTGATCTTTTCCAATTCCTTTGAGCAGTTAAAAGTCCAAAGTGATTCAAAACTTCAGTTCAGTAATGGATTGAATTTGAAAGCAGAACTGATGTTTATCTTATGCATGGAAAGGCAATTACAAGGAAAGACTCCAGGGAAGAAGCTTGGAAAATCAGAGAGCCAGAAACCGAGTTGCTCCAGCAAGCAGCAGTCAGTCTCAGACTTAAAGCTGAGCAACATGGGGCCGGCACTGTGGTGTGGCAAGTGTGACCCTGTCTGCCACACCTGCATCCCACATGGGTGCAGGTTCAAGTGCCGGTTGCTCCACTTTCCGATTCAGCTCCCTGCTAATGTACCTGGGAAAGCAATGGAGGATAACCCACATGCTTGGGGTTCCTGCACCCATATGGGAGGTCTCAAAGAAGCTCCTGGCTCCTGGCTTCAGATTAGCCTATGGATCAGACCAGCCTTAGTTACTGAGGCCATTTGGAGAGTGAAACAGCAGATCAAAGATATCTATCTATCTATCTATCTATCTATCTATCTATCCCTCCCTTCCTTCATCTCTTTTTCTCTCTGTAACTTTGGCTTTCAAATAATTTTTTAAAAACAGTAACAACAACACTAGGGGCAGGGAGATAGAGGCTGGGGTCTGAGAACCCAGGGGGATACTCTTTGAAGCCAGGGTTAGGACAACTGGGCAAGGACATTTCCCAGAGATGTAATCCACAAAGTATGTTTTTGGAAAAACTCCTGATGACTGCAAGGAAGTGATGAAAATGAGGGGGTCTTCCAGCAAGTGGAGTAATATGAAATCAGCTGCATCCCTCATTCACTTCAACAAAAGACATGAGGCTGGGTACTCTTATAAAAAAAAAAAAAAAGAGGTTTATAATGTTGGTAGTTTCGGAAGCTAAAGGCCAGAAAAGCAGGACACTGGCTCTGGAAAGAGCCTCAGGGCAGATGGTATCAGGAACACGTGCAAGAGAATCCCACAGCAAGACAGGGAACAAGCACAGGGAGGGAGGGGTCAGGTCCATTTTACAGCCACCTTTTCATGAGAACAAACCAGAGTCCCACAAGAGCTGCATTGCATTAGTTCCTTCCAAGGTTAGCATATTCAATGACCTCATTGCTTTGCTCTAGGTCCCAACAAGCTCTTAGCATCACTACCCCCAGGGTCCGAGCTTTCATTCACGGAATTCTGCACAACAGCAGGGAGGCATATGCCTGTACTCAGGGTGTGTGTTTTGTTCAAGTGTGCTCACTTATCATCCTCCAAACTAAAAGAAATTCAAGGCTAAAGGGAGAAAAATGCCCAATTGTCCTACTGTACCATGAGGGGTATGTACCCTACTCAATACACCCTTGGGAAGGCTTCTTGTGCCTGTCCCTTGTGTTCTGGCCTTGGGATTTCATGTTGTCTAAGAGGCAAGGACCACACGAAAGTCCAGCCAGGGCTTGGACTGCTGGGACATCTCTCAACCAAAGCCCTTTGGGGACTTCTAGTTCAATGTGTCCCAGCACATCCACATCCTTCTCCCTCTCCTTCTCCTGCTCTGCTGGGCTCTGGCCACTCTCGGCATGGGGAGAATGAGGCAGATGCTTTCTCCCAAGTTCTGAGCTGCCATATGTGTGCCCCTCTCTCCTCCCCCTCCTCCTTCTTGGTAAAGTTTTCTTTTTTCTTTTTTCTTTTTTTTTTTTTTTAAGACACACAGAGAGAGCCCTTCCGTCACTTAGTCCATTCTCTAAATGGTCACAACTGTGATTGGACTAGGCCCCAGCCAGGAACTCCTTCTGGGTCTCCCACATGGCTGCAGCATTTGGGCACCTTCCTTTGCTTTCTCAGATGCATTAGCAAGGAACTGGATCAGAAGTGGAGCAGCTGGGACATGACCTGCCATCCTTATGGTAGGCTGGCATTGCAGGCTAGAAATGCTGGGTCACAAAGCCAGCCCCCTGCCCATCTCATAAGGCTGGAGTCAGAATAAGTCCACAGTAATGGCAAGATTCAGTTTTTCATGATAGGGCTACAGGGACGTGAAGTCCTAGAAACCTCAGATGGAATCTGGGTCTGCTGATCATCTAAAATTATCCCGCAGTGAACAAATTATTTCCTGTACTTTCCAAGTGGGTAGTTGCCACCAAATCCTAAGACTCCTTAGAACTATTGCGCCTCTTCTTTTGGGAGAACACTGCGTCTCCTGCATTTCTCAAAGCTCTTTTCTTCATTGCAAAGTGTTCATACTAATAAATAAATCCTTGTTCAGAAAAGCCTGTGCCAACTTCAAAGTAAGCACAGAACACTATAAACTGCCTTATTCAGTTCCCCAGTGGAATTTACCGTGTCTCTGCTTCTCTCTTAACTATGTGTTCAGAGTAACTCTTCCCAGTTCAGCCTTGTTTGCTTCAGAGGGTAAGATCCAGATCTGTCTTATCTTTGTTTCTCCAGCCCAGCCTAGACTGTGGCTCTGGCACAGAGCCCGTGCTGGGCCCTACCTGACTCTCAACTCTCCCTTGTCTCCCCTCTGCTCCCTGCTGCCACAATGTTTGGGCCTCTTATGCAAGCCTGGCCCAGCTTTGGGCTCTTAGTGTCACAGATAACTGGAATCAGAATCAAATGCATGAAAGGGTGGGTGAGTGGGTGGGTGGGTAGGTAGATGATTGGATAAATGGATGGGTGGGTGGACAGATGGATAAGTGGATGGATGGATCGATGAATGAATGGATGGGTGGGTGGATGGATGGATGGATGGGTGATGGATGGATGGATGGATGGATGGATGGATGGATGGATGGATGGATGGATGGATGGGTGGATGGATGGATGGGTGGATGGATCAATGGATCGATGGATCGATGGATACAGTTGTGGTTTCTGTGAACCAACATCTTATCTTCTGCTCCAATTTACTCACCTTTGTCTTCCTAACTCCAGCCCTTGCTGACAGGCTTGCACTGCCTTCCTGTGTACCTGATCCTGGACACTTTCAGCTTTGCCACCCTTGGATTTGTTGCTTTGTTTTGGATCATGCTGTGGCTTCACTTTGCCTCCCAACTATTTTAATTCCAACTATTTAATTCCTGTTGTTCTCCCTCTTCCATGAACACCCATTCATCTCTCAGAATGACCCTTCCCTATCATTCCCAGCCCTCCCCGGGTGGCCCTATTGATGACTCTGAGCCCTCCTAATCAAAGGTTTCATCTTCTTATCCAGCCCCATAATGCTCAATAAATACAGATGAACTAAATTGTATTTTTGGTTTCTCTTTGATTAACAAGTATATCCAGAGAAAATGGACTACTTTCCCAAAACTGGACTCGGGTGTCCTATGCCATAATGCTCACCTCATTCCAAGCACCCCATAAATGAGGATAGGCTTGGCATTGGAGGGTATTTTCTGCCCCCAGCCCGACCTTGGTATTTCTCTTTAGAATATGATGATTTGCTACCTTAATTTGATCACTTTCCAGTGCTTATATAATGCTTTTTGTGGGACCCTACAATAAAGTGTGTGACTAAATCAATTTGTAAAATTGTATTGTGGGGTAGGAGTAGAAAAATCAGGGTAAGAATGAGCACTGATTTGAATGAACTGAGAGGGCTATTGAGTGACTAATAGACAAACAGAGTTCACATCCCAGGCAGAAGGGAATGCAATGGCAGGAATTCTCATCAGGCTACTCAGAACAATGTGAAATCTCAGATTTATGAACTATTCCCAGAATTCTCCATTCAATATTTTCAATTTCCATTGTTTGTTAACATGAATACAATGGAGTCTGAAATGGTGTGTATACTGGAGGCAGGAAAAAGATGAATGGAGCTATGGACAGATGCATGCAATGGTGGGAGGTGATGCTGTTGTCTGGTCAGAAATTCAAGTTCATCATTAACAAAAGGCTTCATTGGTGTTTGTGCTATGCTGTCTAACAGGTGGCACTGGGGAACTCTGCCTCCTGAACTTCTGGAAGTTAGATGTGGAGTAAGAGGAGAACATGTGCATTCTCCAGAGACTCACAGAAATTAAAGGCCAGTGATTGGGTGTGTGGAGGAGCACCAACTCAGATACCACCAAATCCCCACCCACTGGAATGACACTGGAGCCCGAGAAGGAAGCATTGCCTTTCTTTATTAGAACTGTGTGAGAGAGGTACACTGTGTCTTTCTCATCAAAGACTGCATCTCCCTTCAGGTGAGTTCTAAGGAATTGGCTGTTGAAGAGGTATCACAGACACCAGGGGTACCCCGGCCCCTGAGCAAGAATGGTGCCCTCTTCTAGGCACTGTCTCCTTCTGGTTGGCACTCTAGGTGTCTTTGTTCTAGAGCGTGCCATCAAGGGGCAGAGGTACAGCACACTGATTTTCACTCTGGAAAACACCCTTCGGAACTGCAGCTGCCCTGCAGACGTCCGGGACTGTGACTACAGTTTGGCCAACCTGATGTGCAACTGCAACACGATCCTGCCACCTGCAGTGGAGAGAAGTGCCAGCTATGACGGCCGTCTCACCATCTGGTTCACAGACATGTCAGCCCTGGGCCGCCTGTTGAACTTCACACTGGTCCACGACCTGAAGCTCACCCTATGCAGCACCAACGCTCTCCCCTCTGCCTACCTGGCCATCTGCGGACTGAGGAGGCTCCGTGTCAGCAATGAGGCCAAGCCTGAGCAGAGCCTGTTCATCCACAGCAGTGGGGACACTGGTTCCGAGGACAAGCTCCTGCAATCACATAAAAAAGGGCAGCCATGCACATCTGTCTCCTTCTTGGATGTGGCTCTCTTCAACAGGAACTCATCCTTGAAGTCTTACAGTATAGAGAATGTGACCAGCATAGTCCACAGCTTCCCTGGCTTCTCTTACTTTAAACCCTTCCCCATGGCCAGCAATCAAAGCTGTGTGGTCACAGTCATTTACTGACGTCACGATTGTGTCTGGCCATTGAGAACTCTGTCATGTGATGCACAATTTAAACAAAAAAAATTGGGGGCTAAGGCCAAGAGGTGGGTGCCTTCCTTGCTCCTCCAATACTAGTGCCAGAAGATACAGCCATCACCACTTATCTAAAATGGATACAGACCAAGACCCCCAGGAGACGCCAGAAATGGCAGGTAGTACCCCACCTGTGGATGCTGCCCGTACACATCTGTGATATAATGCATAAATCAGGCACTGTATGAGGTTAGCCGCCGAAACTAGCAGTAAAACAGAGCAACTTGCACCTTGCCTTTACTGCAATAAAGCTTAGGTGACTGTCAATCTCTCTCGTTCTCTCTTCTGTCTCTCAAAATATATTGTACTTTTACTGAAGAAGCACTTTACAGTTCTATTGGACTGATCACTGAGACGGCTACTGAGTGGCTAATGAATGGGCAGTGGACACAGGGTGTACATGCTGGACAGAGGGAGAGTTGACATCCCAGGCAGGAAGGAATGGGATGGCACAGGCTCTCATCAGGCTACTCAGAAAGAGTGAAATGTCAAATTTATGAACTATTTCCAGAATTCTCCATTTAATATTTTCAGCTTGCCAGGGACCATGGGAAACTACAATGGTCAAAAGAGAGAGAACTCAGGAAAAGGGGAACTTCTGTCCTGCTTCACATTTTTTTTTCTGTTATATTTGGAACTGTGTTTAGTTACCCTGGGGACTAGCCTTGGAACCTCACGTTCATCTTTAGCACCATTCCTGTAGTCAACAATGCCCATGTTCCTAACCCATCTTTTAACAGGTCGACTCTTAGAGCTCATTTGGATGTTAAAAATGGAAATGGTTTTATGTATGTCGATTAAAGGAATCAAAGCAAAATATTTTTTCAGACTCAAACTGGCTTGTCATCATTGTACATAGGAATCCTTTCCTCCTAGATGCACAGAACACACAGAATCCGTGGCAATTGTGACCTACCTTAGGATGCCCTGAAGTGGAAGCACTGTGACATCCATGACACTGCAATGCTAGGAATCACCTTTACAAGGAAGTTACAGACTGGTGGGTCGACCACATTCATCACAGATCTCACTCACCGCATTTCTCCCTATTTTAACCTTAGTATAGGGTAACTGAAATAGCCTGACATTTCCACAGTTGCTTGATTGATGGGGGATTTGGCCACTCAGGCTAATTAGCATGAGCCCATAAATGTCAGTGTTTAAAACTAGGCCAAATGAAGACCGAAGTACAAAATTTAATTGAAAAAGATGATGACCTCATTTCTGACCTTGACCTTCAAAGGTAACATTGAAATGATATGGGATTCCCCTGAGTGTTTCAACTGAAAGCTGGCAAGAAGAGCAGGTGTGTGTGTGTGTGTGTGTTGTATTCACTCAGCAAAGCCCTAGCCATGATTGAACCGGACTGAAATTCCAATAAGCAACTGTTTTCTACTTTATTTTGCAAGCACAACCTTCAATTGGATGCTCCATACTACCAGCACATTGTTTCAGTTCATGGTGGAATATTTTAGCTTACCTCTTTCTGAGTCATATGGATCAACTGGCTAAAAATATGTAAGATTCTGAGGTTTTAATGATACGAGGAAAATTGGTAGTATATGGAAATTACAGTTCATAGAATTGAAGAAGTGCTTATTTTGGCACAAAAAGTCTTGAAATCCATGCTTACAAAGTTCAGAGAAAATGTTTATTATGAAAAAAATGCACGAACTTCAAGATTCAAAGTCTATATATCTTTTATACATTTTAATTTATTTTCTAGGCAGAAAGATGGATAATAAGAGAGAGAGAGCACAAGAGTCCTCCATCCACTTGTTCACTTCCTAAATGCCCACATGGCTAAGACTAGGCTGGCAGAAACCAAGAGCCAGGAGCTTCTGCTGGTTGCGTGCAGGAGCCCAAGAACCCGGGCCATCCTCTGCTGCTCGGCAGGGCCAAAAGAATGGGGCTGGATTGTAAGGGGAGTAGCTGGAACCCGAAGTGGCACCCACATGGGATGTGGCACCACAGGCAGAGACTTAACTCACTTTGCCATGGGGCCAGCCCCTCAGCTTATCTCTCTCTCTCTTTTTAAGCTTAATTTTATCAAAAAGGCAGATTCAATTTACAGAAAGGAGAGAAAGAGAAAGATTTTCATTTGCTGCTTCACTGCCCAAATGAGCACAATGGCCAGAGCTGAGCTGGTCCGAAGCCAGGAGCTTCTTCTGGGTCTCCCACACAGGTGCAGAGTCCAAAGGCTTTGGGAAATCCTCTACTGCTTTGCCAGGCCACGAGCAGGAAGCTTGATGGGAAGTGGAGCATCCAGGACACAAACTGGCACCCATATGAGCTCCCAGGGTTTGCAAGGTGGGGATTTGGCCATCATAGTGGGTCCAGACTTTACATTCTTTTGCACCAAAAATAAATTTGTCATGTAATTCCATGTTGCACCAATTTTTTGAAGTTCCCCTCCTATTTAAGTGCTTTATTTTGTTTTTTTTTTTTTAATAATAATTGTTTTTATCTTGTCAATCTTTACATAGTTAATTTGGGCAAAAAGGGTCAAGGGCTATAGGAAAGTGGGTAAGACTATTATTTCCATATTGTTTCCTTCATATATCTGAGGTAGAGGGGGATATTGAGGGAGAAGCCCCACCCGGTTTCCCACCCACCCCAAGTCCCGCATGTGGGGCATGCTCCGAGATGCCCGTGGAAGTGGTTTCAATAGGTCACCAGTTTTGAAATTGCTGCCAATCTTACCTCTCCAAACACGATGAGGTTGTTGAAAAATCCATTAATTGACATTGTCCATCATAGCATCTCTATTTGCCCGGTATTTTGTTGCCAACCTATAGCTGAGGTGGTTGATTAATTTGTTCCATCTTCTGTCCCTTCATGGTTAGGGTTCTGAGTCTGGCATTTCAATTGGGGAGATCACCAAAGAAACTTCGTCTGAGGTGTTCCCAGGCCAGATACTCGTATGCGCCAGCAAGCACAGGGCCCAGCACAGTCCATCACCCGGTCAGCTGGTAGTTGCAATTGCTGGGTTGGTTCTGTTTTCAGCCCTGGCTTCTACTGGAACCCATGGGTGTTGCAGTCCAGCCTGGTTCTGCACAGCACATACTCGGTCTTCACCTAAACCAGTGGGAGCTGCATTCTGATGAGAGCGGCCCACGATAACCCCCACCAGGCCCACCCCCTACCCTGGTTTGCCAGTATGTGTGGCAAACCAGTCCAATCTGACCCACATCCCCCCTGGTTCTTGTACATGGCAAATGGCATTGAAGCTTGGATCCATCTACCCAGCTCAACAGTCAAGCCTGCTCTGGGCTGTTTCCATTCATGCTTCTTGTGCTTACCCGTGGGGTCTGTGTCCTGCCAGAGGAGTTGCCCAGGCTCCTCCATCAGAACCTCTCCCAGTGCCGGATTTTGTGCATGCCAGTGGGTCCATGAGCCAGCCCTACTCAGTTCCTGACCAGCCTTCGACCCAAGCTGGTTCTTGTTGTTGGATATTTCAGCCCAGCCATGGCTCGTCCAGTCCATTCCCACATACGGCTCACACATGGTTCAGTAGGGGTTGCGACCTAGCATAATCCGTCCCACTTCTATCCTGGTCCTCCAGGAGCACCAGACAGTGCTGGGGTCTGGTCCAGCCTGGTGCGTCCAGTCCCAGTCCACACTTGTGCCAAGGGAGATTTCACTGTTACCTGATCAGAATGCAGCCCCCATTCCAGCCCACGTGCTCCTTGGCGGTAGCCTTAATCCAGTTAGTGTGTCTACTGGACAAGACCCATGCCAAAGCTTTAGCAGGAACTGGTATTTGGTGGTCAGCATTGCTAAGTGGTAACACGTTCTTTAAAGGAAGAGGAACTGTCATTGGGAAACTTTAGGATGTATTCAACTCACAGAAACACATTGGGTTCAACGTGGAGCCACATAAGCAGCAATTCAAACCACCAAAATCCCAGAGCTCCCCTGCCGGGCGGCCAGCAAGCAAAGCCTGGCACCAACTGGCGCCATGGCTGCCCAAGCCTGGTTCACCATGTGCCCATGATGGCGGGTGTATGGGATCCGGGCATGAGACACCCTGTCCCGGGACCCACCCGCTGCCGAGAGGCGACCGGAAGTGTAACCTCCCAGGGCCAAGGTCGCGCCCCACCCCAATCCCTTCCGCCACCCAATGAGCGCAGCAGATGGGCCTGCCTAGCCAGGCTCCAGAGACCTCCCCCGCCCCCCGGTCGGTGTACTCACCCCGAAGGAAGCAGCCCTGGAGCCCCGGCAGGCCCAAGCCCTGTTCACCATGTGCCCATGATGGCAGGCGTATGGGATCCGGGATGAGATGCCCTGTCCCGGGATCCACCCGCTGCCGAGAATAAGTGGAATAAGTGCTTTATTTTGATCCTGGAATATTCTTTTCACTAGTTAGTTGATCAGCTTATGTTGTATGGCTTTACAAACTCTCATAATAGAGACACTCAACAGACCTATAGCCAATATGAATCAGGATGAGTGAAATCATTAATTCAACTCAAAGACAAATGAAACATCTTTTGCATAATAGATTCTGGCTGGCCCTAATCCATGATAGAGTTAGAGTGTCGTTGTGCCTATACTATTACCAGCAACATGCTTCCTGAATAAAATTGCAATTTCTTTGCAGCTTAAAAAAATTCAGTGTTTTATTTCTTACACTAAAAAAACTTAAGTGTAAAAAAATGTTCTATTTGTCAGTTTTGAAAAATAATTATATGAGTGTTGGCTACACCACTCATTCTTTTCTTTTTAGAATTTTTAATTGAAGTGGAAAAGTTGTACAATAAGCAAAAGTATGACAAGTGAACAGCTAAGTAAATGTCTACTGATTGGTAGGTATAGTTGGTGGGGGCTGGTTACGCACTGGCATGGCTGGTTTTAGCTTGAGTGCATTCTGCTAGGGCTTACCTAGATGTGTCATCCCATTGGAAACTTCAATTAGAGTTTAACCCCTACTAAAAAGTGGGAAAAGAGGGAAACTGAACCCCGTTAAAGAGTTTTAGTGGTGGACTTTGTGGGAGGTGGGTGGGCTTAGATAAGGTCATTGAGTTGAAGGCACCTGTGATTAAGAATTGATGGTTTTGTACAAAGAGGGATTGAGACCCAAGGGTGCCCATCCCCACGCCCTCCCCCCATCCCCACACTCTTTCACTGTGTGATGTCCTTCATCATCTTGAGACTCTGCAAGTCATCATCGGGTCCAGCCT